ACTCATTTGAAAAGAGTACAGCTTTTACTGTCAGTCATTCTAAGTGAGTACAGTAAAATGTTGTACAGATTTTTTTTTGACAGTTGAATATACTGTACAGCAAGGAATGAGTACAGTATTTTTGAGAACATTTTACTACTGTACAGTACTATGGTTTTAGAAATGAATACATTCTTCCTAATATTTATATACTTCTGTCCAAGTTCGTAACAGTCAAAAGCACTAATAAAATTAAAAATTTTGCTTCTTTTCGTTAGTCTAAGAAAGTCTCAGATCGTATTGCGGATATGGAAGGTCCATTACTAAGAGAACTTAATGAAGGTATTGCCGTATTTGTACAAGAATTTGATGAGTTTAATCGAAACTTTGAAGCGAATGGCCCAATGATAGAAGGAATATCTGCAAAAGAAGCTAGTGAACGGGTATTCATATTTCAAAATCGCTTTGATGAACTTTGGCGTAAATTTGAAATGTACAGCAGTGGAGAAAAACTTTTTGGTTTACCAATAACTGATTACCCTTTATTGCATCAACGAAAAAGAGAATTCAATTATTTGAATCGCCTATATTCTTTATATATCCAAGTTCTAAAATCAATTTCAGATTATTATGAAATGCCGTGGTCTGATGTTGACATCGAAAAAATTAGCATTGAGCTTGCGGACTTTCAGTTACGTTGTCGAAAGCTTCCTAAAGGTATGCAATCCTGGCCAGCTTATATTGACCTAAAAACAAAAATAGATGACTTTAATGAAACTTGTCCATTACTTGAATTAATGACGAATAAGGCAATGAAGGAGCGTCATTGGGTGCGACTAAATGCTCTTTTTAAGACTAACTTTGACCCAACAGATCCAAAGTTTACTTTAGGAAAACTACTTGATGCACCCATATTACAATTTAAAGAAGATGTAGAAGATATTTGTGTGGGTGCCGGTAAAGAATTAGATATTGAAGCAAAGCTAAAACAAATTATTGCTGATTGGGCGTTGTTAAATTTACAATTGGGCCAGTTTAGAAATCGTGGGGAACTTACTTTAAAGGGAACTGAAACATTGGCTCTTATCAGTACTATCGAGGATAGTTTAATGATAATGAACTCATTAAGCTCTAACCGATATAATGCTCCATTCAAAAAAGAAATACAGCTTTGGCTTTGGAAACTTGTAAGTACTGGTGATATTTTGGAAAAGTGGCTGATGGTTCAAAATCTTTGGATATATTTGGAAGCAGTTTTTGTAGGCGGCGACATTTCAAAACAGTTACCTATGGAAGCCAAACGTTTTGTAAATATCGACAAAAGTTATGTTAAAATAATGATGAGAGCACGAGAAATACCTAACGCAGTAGAGTGCTGCACAGGAGATGAATCATTAGCTACAAACTTAAATTGGTTATTTGATCAGCTCGAGACTTGCCAGAAGAGTTTAACAGGCTACTTGGAATCAAAGCGATTGTTATTCCCACGTTTCTTTTTTGTGTCCGATCCCGTACTCTTAGAGATATTAGGTCAAGCATCAGATCCTACTTCAATACAGCCGCACCTCTTAAGTATATTTGATGCAATTGCTACGGTTGATTTCCAGGAAAAGGCAGGTGATATCATTGATGGTATGAATTCATCCAATCATGAGAAAGTTAAATTTGAAAATACGGTGCAGTGCATTGGTAGTGTGGAGCTTTGGTTGGGTCGTTTATTGAAAGAAATGCAAGATACTGTAAGAACTATTCTCGCAGGAATGGCAGTAAGTTTAAACGATCCCGAATTTAACTTTGCAGAGGAATTTCCCTCTTTTTGTGGGCAAGTAGGTGTTGTTGGAGTACAACTGCTATGGACAAAGGATTCAGAGTACGCTTTACGCAAGTGCCGATCGGATAAAACAATTATGAAACGCACTAATAACAAGTTCTTAGTTCTGCTTAACTTTTTCATCGATCTAACTGTAAGAGATCTCACTTCACTTGATCGGATACGTTTTGAAACTATGGTTACCATACACGTACATCAACGGGATATTTTTGATGATTTGTGTACACTGCGAATTAAATCTGCTGGTGATTTTGAATGGCAGAAGCAAGCACGGTTTTATTATAACGAAGATAATGACGATTGTATAGTGGGAATTACAGATGTGAATTTCATTTATCAAAACGAATACTTGGGTGTAACTGAACGACTCGCCATTACCCCTTTGACTGATCGCTGCTATATTACTCTCGCTCAGGCTGTGGGAATGTGTATGGGGGGAGCACCGGCAGGTCCGGCAGGTACAGGAAAAACTGAAACAACCAAAGACATGGGGCGAGCTTTAGGAAAATTAGTTGTCGTTTTTAATTGTTCCGATCAAATGGATTTTCGCGGGTTGGGTCGAATTTACAAAGGACTTGCTCAATCTGGTTCGTGGGGATGCTTTGATGAATTTAACCGAATTGAGTTACCTGTCCTATCAGTAGCAGCACAACAAATCTAGTAAGTAAATTAACATTACTTTTTTATATACAATCAAAAACACAAATACTTTTTTCCAGTATTGTGCTAACAGCACGGAAGGAAAAACGAGCTTCATTTATTTTCTTAGATGGTGATGATGTCTCACTTAATCCAGAATTCGGAATATTTATTACGATGAATCCTGGTTATGCTGGACGTCAAGAGCTTCCTGAAAATCTTAAAATTATGTTTCGAACGGTTGCAATGATGGTACCTGATAGGCAGATTATTATTCGAGTTAAAATGGCGAGTTGTGGATTCAAAGAAAATGTTCTGCTCTCCAGAAAAATGTACACCCTTTATAAATTATGTGAAGAACAACTGTCTAAACAGGTTCATTACGATTTTGGTCTACGAAATATTCTTTCAGTCTTACGAACACTTGGATCACAAAAAAGGTCAAATCCAACTGATACTGAAGAGACGATAGTTATGCGAGTCCTACGTGATATGAATGTTTCAAAACTTATTGATGAAGATGAAGGCCTCTTCGTATCATTGGTTGATGATATGTTTCCAGGAATAAAGCTAACTACAAATGTATATAAGGAATTGCAAAGATCGATTCTAAAGGTATGTGAAGAATCGGGGTATGTTAATAATCCTGAGTGGAATTTAAAAGTAGTCCAACTCTATGAGACCTCCCTTGTTCGTCATGGCCTTATGCTTATGGGTCCAACGGGATCTGGAAAAACAAGCTGTACACTTTGTATGCTTCGTTGTTTTACAAAAATGGGACGCCCACATAAAGAAATGAGAATGAATCCCAAAGCGATAACAGCTCCACAAATGTTTGGTCGTTTAGATGTAGCCACTAACGATTGGACTGATGGAATATTTTCTACACTATGGCGACGTTCTTTAAAAATCCCACATAGTCAAAATTGCTGGATTGTACTTGATGGACCAGTTGATGCAGTTTGGATTGAAAACTTAAATTCGGTACTCGATGATAACAAAACACTTACTTTGGCGAATGGAGATCGCATAAAAATGGCTGCCAATTCTAAACTAGTTTTTGAGCCAGATAATGTCGATAATGCATCTCCAGCAACTGTAAGTCGAGTTGGCATGGTGTTTACTAGCTCTTCTGTATTAAGTTGGAAGATCTATATGGAGGCTTGGTTAATGAAACACAGTGATGAACAAGAAACTTACAGACGATGCTATGAATCAATATATGATGACGCGCATACGTTTTTGCAAACTAAACTTGTAGCTAAAATGCGAATATTAGAAGCAATTTATATTCGACAGATGCTGGATATTATGGATGGCCTTTTAATGGAAATAAGCGCTCGTAGCGAGAGAGCTCTTGAACGCATATTTTTGTTTTCAATGATGTGGTCCCTGGGCGCTGTTCTAGAATTAGCCGAACGTGAAAAGTTTGAAGAATATCTTGTCAAACATCCATCAAAAATGCGTAAATATAATCAATTTTATAAAATATATTCTCTTTTGTAAATAAAACTTTTACAGTGTGGCCCAAACGTGGATTGAATGAGACTATTTTTGAATATTATGTAGACGACAATGGAAGTTGGCAACACTGGAATACACGTGTCGATCAGTTTAATTTCCCAGAAGATGAAGTCCCAGAATTTTCATCAATCTTAATACCAAATGTTGATAATGTACGCACTGCTTTTCTCATACATAATAGTGCAAAACAGCTTAAGCAAGTGCTTCTTATTGGGGAGCAGGGAACAGCTAAGACAGTAATGATAACTGCTTATATGGGGCGTTACGATCCCGAAGAACACTTATCAAAAGCAATTAATTTTTCGTCGGCAACGTCTCCAAATATGTTTCAAGTAAGTATAGCATATGTATTTACAAATTTTTATCCCGTCTATTTTATTCGAGGAAATATTTTATTATTATTAATTCATAATATATTTGTATGCTGATAACCTTGTCTACGAGTTTTTATATCCTGAATCCATTTTCAATGGGAAATCAGGGTATAATAGATTGGGTGAAATGTATGTGACAGGCAGACGTATTCGCGGCAGACCCTATAAAGTATATATATTCTTGATCATCACGACGAGCAGAGTCTATTTGCCTCTGTCCGTCCGTCTGTCCGTCTATCCGTATGTATGAACGCACACGCACACACACAGCCATACGTACGCACGCATAATCACGCATTGGCTGCAGTGTTGGCTTGCTAGGGGAAGTTAATTATTCAATAACTTTTTGTGGATAGACTATCTTCAAGAAACTTTCAGAATATGAATATAACATAGATATTTTATTTTGACTAAAATTGAAATTTTGTAAAATGCATATAAAATTAGGAGAGTCTAACTTTAAAGACGTAGGCGATATAAATTTATTACTCGTTTTCGATAATGTTTTAATCGATAATGTTGAAATACGATAACAACAATAACATTATTCAACAGTACACTATGGTCAGAAAGTCGGATTTTTTGGCATAAAGTCCAATTTTAAAGTTAGAGCCTTGAAATTTGGTACATATTTTTGCTAAATTTTTATAGAATTTTGGATTTTGTTTTTTTTTAATCGGCCCAT